CTCTCTCTCTCTCTCTCTCTCTCTCTCTCTCTCTGTTTGTCTCTCTTTCTCTCTCTCACCTCCCGTAACATTTTTAAATGTCTCTACTAAAAGAGAACTCTTATTTTACTTTTATATAAAAAATAAATAAATATATATTTTGTATTTACACAATAGAAATAGAAAAAGCAAAAAGAAACATAAATATTTTATGTTTCAAACACAAGTTAATATAATATATTTTACTTACGTTATAAGGGATAACTGATTTATAAGATAATTGTTATTTCTTTCTTAGGAATAAACAACAAAAGTGTTTTCTGGCAAAAAATTCATACTGATCAAAATGAACTAGTATGTACATACATACATTTATACATATCGCTATATCTTTTCTTTCAATTCAATATATGCATTAAATCTATAATTATATGCCATATAATTATCATCTCATTGTCATAATCATTGTCTAATTGTAGCATCGTCTATTGTATTAATGTTAATATGATATTTTAGCGTATTTATGGATTCGAGAAGAGTTCACTGACGACTATTCTGACATATGTATCATATATATTGTCCGTTGGATTGGTTCGGTTATTGTTCCATTGGTATCCTCGGCTGTATCTGTATGCAACTCATCGAAAATGTGCTTTAAGTTGCGCCACGAAAATACTCGCGATTGTAAGTCTTTTCCTCTCGTTATGCTTTTTATATTATCTCTCCCTCTCTCTCTCTCACACACACACACACACACACACACACACACACACATCACAATAACTAAATAAAATATTTTTGAGAATAATAATTATGTTTCTGATTTAACACAATAAATGTAGGATGATTATCAAGGATATAAATCATACTTTGTACGGGATGTCCGGAAAATTTCTACTAAAGATATAAGGTAAGTTTATAATATGTAACATTAAAAGAATATATTATGCCTAAACGGCGAATTTTAGACTATTATATAGTCTCTAATTCCATTACTAATATATACTTTCAGTGCGAAAAGTTTGTCGGCTACTTTGGGTACTGTTGATCGAGAGCTCTTAGAGAAAATAAAAGACAAAAAATTAAAAATTAATTTAGAAAACGGTACACGTTGCGAGGTTCAGGAATATAAGGCTTTTTGGTATAAAAAGAGATGTTACATCTGGGACACTACGAAAAATATATTCACGAGGCTCGTTGGACTTGACCATGGTATAATATGTTCCGATCTTCACGTCTCGCGCGATAACGGCTTATCCAAGGAAGAACAATTACTTAGGTGACGGTCCTATATAGATTATAAACTCAAGCACACAGCGCTAAAAAAAAGCGCATACAATGGCGTTTTTAGCGCTTTGCAAGCGTGCTGTGCTATACTTGGGGATATACTTATACACTCATATACATGCACATTAATGTACAGATAGATGTAAAATGCCAAACAATCTATTTACTTACGAATTAATCAATTAATCAACAATCTTTCAATTAAGAAACATTTTGTCTTCGTAACAGGCGCATTGTCTATGGAAATAATGACATTGTTGTTCCACTTCAAAGTATCGGTATGTTACTACTTCTAGAAGTTTTAAATCCATTTTATATTTTTCAAATATTTACCTTGTCTGTATGGTTCGCGGAAGGCTATCTGTATTATACTATTGCTATAGTGTTAATGTCTTTGTTTGGCATAACGAGTTCTATAATGCAGACACGTAAGGTACGTAGAAGAAAGAAAATTTGTCTTGTAATATAAAATATTCATTCGCGATTTCACCCACATTGATTATTTTTAGAACCAAATAAATTTACGCGGTACCGTTGCATCGTCAGAAAGTGTACGTGTACTTCGTGACACTGGTATCTTCGAGAATATCTCTAGTAAGCAATTGGTACCCGGTGATATTATAAAATTACCGAAACATCGAGCGACTCTCGTATGCGACGCGGTTCTATTAACTGGACAATGTATATTGAACGAATCCATGTTAACGGGTAAATATGTATCTTTCAAAAATTATATATTATACATATATTATAAATTACTGCTTCTTAATAAAAGAAAAGATTCTTTCTCTTCATATCTCTCTCTCCATAAACGCGCGCGCGCACACACGACTCTATGTTTTTGCTGAATTTGCTTGCTCTACCGATTTTAGGCGAATCTGTACCAGTAACAAAAACATTCTTACCATTACGCCATACACTGTACGACGCTAAAGAGTATACGTATCACACGTTATATAATGGTACCACTATAATACAAACTAAGTATGAACGATACTTTTACTTTCGATAATATAATAGATATAGCTGCTGATAATTATGTGTAATTAATGAGTGACATGATCGCAGATCTCACGGCGAACAACCAGTTCTTGCGAGAGTAATCAGAACTGGTTTTCTAACTACCAGAGGTACTCTAATTGCCACTATACTATATCCACCTCCAGTGGATTTCAAATTTGATAAAGATTCATACAAATTTATGGGCATTTTGGCAATTATCGCAATTTGCGGTTTTGTATATACCGTAATAACAAAGGTATCATATATAATTTTTAACATTTTCAAATAGATGCATGTATACTTATTTATAACTATATAATGATTCGTTTTTATAAAAAGATAAAAGATATCAATATCCTATAACAACAATAATAATAATAGTAATAATAAGAATAATAGTAGTGATAATAATAACAACAGTAGTAGTAGTAGTAATAATAATAATAATAATAGTAATAATAATAAGACGATATTAAATATATAATTTAGGTCTCGAGAGGAATTACAGCTGGCGATATAGCGATAAAAGCATTAGACATTATTACGATAGTCATACCACCGGCATTACCAGCCGCGATGACTGTAGGAAAACTGTACGCTCAAATGAGATTGAAATATGCGCAAATCTACTGTATAAATAACAGAGTCATAAATGTTTCTGGCAGTATTAATTGCGTATGTTTTGATAAGGTACGTGAGAGAAAGGGAGAAATTAAGATTGACAAAGAGATTAAAAAGAAGCTGCATTATGTCGCAGCTAGCCACGTAATTGCGGAACAGGCGAGCAATTTGCGAATCAATATTGCGTAGTATATTGCAACGTTAACGATAACATTTCTTTCTCGTTTTGACGGTTTATGTCCACAGACAGGGACATTGACCGAGGATGAATTGGACATGTGGGGTGCTGTAGCATGTACAAATGGCGTACTTGCAGAGGTTCAGACAGATATATCCAAACTCAAAGATCATCCTCTTTTCGAAGGAATGCTAGTTTGTCACAGTTTAACACTTATCGATGGAAAAATTTGCGGAGATCCATTGGACGCAAAGGTAATAATTAATACTAATATTATATCTCTCTTCTACTTAAATGTTATCGCTGCTTTTCTACTGCGACATGTAGTTTTACTGCTCGACATCTCGCGATGTTACTTATTAATATATTGTATTATTATTATATACGTGTATACTACGCGTTACAGATGTTCGAAAGTACTAAATGGATGTTGAAAGATTCGGATTGCATACACATAGATAAATTATATAACAACTCAATAATGCCGATTGTCGTGAGGCCAGAGAATGTAAGCTTGACGAAAAATATGATGAACGAAATTACGGAGATTGGTATAATACAGCGATATCAGTTCTCGAATTCTTTACAACGAATGTCTGTGATCGTATGTGCATCAGGATCAGATAATTTCAGAGCTTACACGAAAGGTTCTCCCGAAACGATAATCAATCTGAGTAAAGTGGAAACTGTACCGAAGGACATTTCGCTCACTTTAGAGCAATTTACGAAACGGGGGTTTCGCGTGATAGCTATAGGCCGCAGAGAGACAATATCCAAAAGTATAAGCCAAGAGGTATAATATACTATACGTTGCATGTAATGTATATATTCGTGCAATCTTTTTTCTTTTCACATAAACGTACTCGATCAATACTCGATCGTGTATGTATATATGTATGTATGTTTATTTAAATAAAAATGTATCTCAATTAAGTGACGCGATATAAACATGCATCAAAAGTGATGAAAAATGCATATTTTCGTAGATATCGAAATTGTCTCGAGAAACAATTGAACAAGACTTGGATTTCTTAGGACTAGTCATTCTGGAAAATCGACTGAAGCAACCGACGGCATCAGTGATTACGGAATTAAGGGAAGCCAACATACGCGTGATGATGATTACAGGTTTGATGGAACGATTTATCACCATATACATATACATATGTGTAACACGTGTATGAATATAATCTCTCAAACATAATACTGAGCATTCATGCACTAATGCATGATTCGATTTTTGTGTTTCTCAGGAGATAATATTCAGACCGCGATAAGTGTCGCGAGAGAATGCGGAATAATTTCGATCAAAGAACACATCGTGGATGTGACCGTAGTCTCGAATGAGGAAAAGGATTGTCCAGATATAATTTTCAATATTCAATCTCAATCTCCAAGATTGCAGGTATAAATAATTAATTATTTCATTTGTCTGCATTTTGTCTATAGCCGCAGCCGCGTTTTGCTTGACAATCAATCTGCAGTTATTAACGGCCATGCAGAATGTTGATGCAGATTAATGCGAATCTTTCAATTTCTTATAGAGCACACAAAATCATTTAGTATCACTGCCGACGTTTAAGGATATAGAATGCGGTATAGCCAATTGCAATTATAGATTTGCCTTAACGGGACAAACGTGGCAAGTGATGCGAGAATATTATCCCGATATCGTGGATCGCGTTTGCATACGTAGTGCAATATTCGCCAGAATGAACAGCGATCAGAAGCAACAGTTGGTCGTGGAACTAATGCGACTCGGTTATTACGTAGGTACGTGTGTTTCGAAAGTATCGAGAAAAAGCGCCGGATAAAGTCATTAATGTTTCAAATAACGTGACAAATGTAAAAGAATATAATGACACACAATATATATATATATATATATATATAGTATAATTATGTGAAAATTATTGTATACGATGCTTCTATACACATATAGCCATGTGTGGAGACGGTGCCAATGATTGCGGAGCGTTAAAGGCCGCGCACGTCGGTATATCCCTTTCCAAAGCAGAATCTAGGTGAGTTAAACATAATATGATTACACTGGCTACTTAATTCTGTCATTTTTTTCATTATATTAATTGACGATTTGCATTGACATATTTTGCAGCGTGGCCAGTTCCTTTATCTCAAGAATATCCGATATAAGCTGCGTTTCACAAATAATACGGGAAGGTCGTGCTGCTTTGGTTACATCATTTGGAATATTTAAATTTATGATTGCGTATTCTCTTACGGAATTTTTGTCTGTTATAATATTGTATTCCATAGATTCGAACTTGACGGATCTACAATTTCTATTTATCGATATTTTCTTAATAATCAACTTTGCTTTTTTTTTCGGCAAGACTCACGCGTGTAAGAACAAATTATCCAAAACAACACCGATGACAAGTCTGTTAAGCTTCACTGCACTGTTATCTCTAACAATGCACATGTTTGTAATGATCGTTTTTCAAGCGACAGTGTATCATGCAGTTCGACAATTTTCATGGTTCATCCCGTTCGTTTCTACTAGCAACACCGGATACACATGCTACGAAAACTATTCGGTATTTTGTGTCTCCATGTTTCAATATATCACGATGGCGATTGTGTTCTCACGCGGGAAACCTTACAGACGTGCAATCTATACAAATGGCGCATTTATGTTCTCTATACTTTTATTAACGGCCATATGTATATACATTACAGTTTACCCCGCGGATTGGATAGTGAGCACGCTGCAGTTGATTTTGCCACCCGTTTACGACTGGAGGCTTATTATCCTAATGCTCGCTCTAGCCAACTTTCTTATTTGTTTATTTCTCGAGAGCTTCGTAATAGAACGCGTCATAGAAAATACCTTGAAGAGAAAATTACATAAACCGGAAAAATCAAAAAAACAATATCTAAAGATGGAATATGAATTAAAGAATTGTGAAAGCTGGCCGAAATTTAAGAGCACTGACCAAACGCCAGAATTATCTATGCGAAAAGAAGGCAACTTACGAAATATTGCGAATATTACACGTAATAGTCACTGTCAAAGTGGTCAAATTTCGAATGATCAAACGGTGAATGATTTTAACAACTCGATCAAGCTAGCGAATGGATGGACCGGCAAGAAAAATGGATTCGAAAATTTTGGTTTTGCAAATGACTGAGTATAGTGACGAAACCTATACAGAATAATCGAGCCATTTTTATATTCTATCCTAAATATCTTTTTTTTTTACAATAAAATATTTTAGATTAGGTTTTTTCAGATTTTAGGTTTCAAGAACATGTACTTTGATCACGTTCTTTTTTTTGTAGGTTGAGGCGTCAAAACGATATGAAGGTCTGCACTTTTTAAATGAAATTGTATGATTTTTTTACATCTACATAATGTGATTCCTTCAATTATTCTGTGTATAAAAATATTGAGAGGTAGAGATATCAAAAAGTCAACAGTATATGAAATATTTTAGATTTTATTCTAGCAAATATATTGACACGAAATATTAAATATCGTAATATCTATTAATTTTTTGCTAATCTTACTTAATTATTTTTATAAACAGAATAATGAAATCAATCAATTATAAGGAGAATTATATAATTGCTTTAAGAAATATGTAGGCAAAATGAATAATTTTTTTATATAAGCAACTTTGTATTTTTTTTTTACACCAATTGATTCATCTCATTATTTTGTCCATAAAAATACTAAGGTACGATTGTCAAAAACATTAATGGTTTGTGAGATATTTAATATTTCATGTTAACATGTGTCAAAATAAAATATAAAATAGCTCGTAAACTGCTGAGACTTTGTGTGTGTGTGTGTGTGTATGGAGGGGGGGTATCTTAAGGGTTTTATCTTAATATTTTTATCTATAAAATAATTACGAAGAAGCGTATTATGTGAGAAAAATCATACAATTCTATTTAAAAAAATGAAGGTAATCTTTTGGTTTCACCACCAAAAAAAAAAAGAAAAAATAACATGACTAAAATAAGTCCTCTTCGAAATCGTTCCTTTTTCATCAAAAATTAATAACATTTTTTTTTTGTAAAAAGCGTGGAAAAAAATATTTAGGACGGAATATTAAAATGGCCCATCCTATATACAGGGTGTCTGATAATTATTCTGACAGAGTTTGTGGACATGTAGAGCGGACTAAACTGAGACAGAAAATTCTCTACCATTTTGCAATTTTCGCAATAGTTAACAAGATATTAATTGCTAAAAATTGCCGAAAATTGGTCTTCAATAATTTTTTACTCAAATATACTATCAACTTTATAGAAAAAAACTGCAAGAGACAAAAATTGTTTATTTTCTTCTTATAGAGCTCTAAGAATTTTTTTAGAAGGACTTTCCGTCTCAGCTTAGTCAGCTTTACTGTCCACGAACTTTGTCAGAACAATTATCAGTATATTCATACAAATTATCTCTTCAAATAAGCAAATCGTAAAAATCTAGTATTGGAACAGAAAAGTAATATTTATTATATAATATAAATAAACTTTAATGTGGGTAAGTAGAAAGAGACTCGCAGTATCTACATGTAAATATAACTTGGTCGTACATTCACGTTAATTCACTGTTTTATCATACTCAAACTCGTAATATATGAATCGTAATACGGATAGCCTAATGCACTATAGATAGATGTCCGATCGCACGTTTTTTCCAATAACAACATTCGACTTGGAAATATAAGTGATATAATGCAATATATATATAAATGCCAAGAATATCATATATCGTATAGCACTTCCATGGCAGTATATCAGAAATATCTCGAGAAATTTTATACTTGAGCACCTTTATGTATCTCGAAAAAATCGCGCTCACGCGATAGAATATTAAATACAAATCAATACAAATTGACTTAAATTAACATTCGAAACATATGTTTTCCGTTCATTCGCGATTGTCTCATTCTCGTGGAATAATTCATTCAAGTCGTAACAAGTCATATGCATATACGCTGACTCATGCACACGCGCATACCACCTATTGTTCCGTAAGATATGCTAAATGTTAAATAAAATTTGATCAAAGCCTGCAATTGACATAGAAAGATCAATCGTACTTTTTAGGTCGGTATCTGTGTATATATAACTGCGATCGATTTAATTTAATAGTAAATATGTGAATCTACAAAATAAAATAAATTATATATCATAAGTCTCGACTGTTTATCGTCGTGTGTACCCACAATATCGATCTTTTTAGCATTTTCTGAAAAGAATAAAGCGTTAATATGATAAAAACGATAATACAATATATGATTTAATCAAATTCATACAACTTACCGATAATAGACTCGTGTTTAGCTATCAATTCTTCTCGGATCCATTCCTTAAAACGTAAAACTATTTGACCGATCATACGAATTACGACGTCATCTATGCTCGGTTTCAGGAGTAAACTTGGTAAGATTGTAACAAAGCTTTCAAATATTTTTTCTCTGTTCAAACGAAACAAATAATTAGCGACCGTTTACTAAGTTAATTATACATATTCCTAAATGAGTGTTCTACAAAAATTAAATTATCCACCGTTTACAGTTTTTACTTTTTATTTAAAACGATTACCTGTGCAACTCATTTAAATTGCTGTTCAACATGATGTCACCAATAATTAAATACAAATGCGATTGCAATTCTTTATTAGGCAAACGAGAAGATGCTTCAATAATCAGTCTTAAAGTATGATTTAAATTAATACAGTTGCTATACCAAACTGGTCCAGCCTTCAAAAATAAAGTTTTTAGTAATTTAGTTAGTTGAGGTAAAGTCGACGAGTTGTACCAATTTTCAATAATACCTGAAAATGAGAAAAGTTTCATAAAAAAGGACTTCATACATATAATAATTAGATAATATTACTTGTTTTTATTACATAATAATAATTTACCATTTAAATACTTCAGAATTGATATGCAATAGTTCCTGACAGACTTGGGAAATTGTTCGTTGCAGTTAAACAGAGATGTAAACCATATGTGAATTTGACAAACTCCCAAATTTTGTTCCAAACATCCTTCCGTAAATTCCATTTGAGAAAAATCTTTTTGACGTTTTCTAGATTCATTAATAAGAGGCTTTATTTTACCATAAGGAAATCTCGATAGGAAATTTTTCATATATTTTTCATGAAATGTATCTTTAAACCAATGTTTCATGCGTTTGACGCTGTAATCATCCTGATCCAACGTATCAATGTATTCCACAATCGATTGCATAATTACAATGACATTTTTCAATAATGCAGCTGTTTCGCTCAAAATTGTAATTTCTGTGTAACTCTCAATTTTCTCATCTGGACATACTTCGAGCCAAATATCAGACATTAGTGGCATTAATAAATTTACATATTTTACAAATTCTTCTATAGGTAAAGTTTCTTTCTCACGATTATCTATCGAGATATCTTCGTCAAGATTAATTTCACAAAATTGAATCGCACTATCGCTATAAACTGGAATAAATCTGGTATATTTTTTCGTTTTCACAAACAGAGGCATACTCGATCGTGTACCTATACAAAGTTTCCTATAGCTAACAATAGAGGTAAATAAATTAGCTAAACGTTCCAGAACTTTAATTCTCCATTTTACATTAGTATTTTTGGAATGTAACGTTGTCGTTAATTGTGCCACAGAGCTACCTTCATTATGTAACTTACATATCATACCCAAAAAATTAGGTAGTATTTTATGACTATCTTTCGCCAACACACTATTACAATTTTGTACAAGCACATCTAAAAAAAGTAGAGAATCTTCTTTCACACGTGGATCAATATGTGTCATTGCACAGCTCAAATACGATATAATAATTTCACGCAAAGGTGTCAACTGTTCATTTGAGATAAGACCAAGAATAAAATTAAGTGCATGAAATGAATTTGTGCGTATTTCTTTCTCTTTATCAAGAGATAAAGCTGCAATACCATGTAACAGAGAATTCAATCGTGAATGTAAAGATTTTGGAGGATTTTGTAACAAGATGTCTTTTAATTGTTTCAAAGCATCTTGTCTCACAGAAGAATTGTGATGCCGAAAACGTGTTAATAAATCCTGGAAATACATTATAAGTTATATATTATATAATATACGTACAAGGTCGAATTATAACGCACTAAACAATTAGGTTTATGCAAGATATCAACATTTGGTAATTGAATTTAGCCTCTTCATCTCCCCGAGGTTGATGAAATTAGATCCATTCGACGCGTTTTTGCACTACATGAACGAATTTGGCAAAAAAATGTGTCACTCTGCCCTGCGAACCGAGTTATTAATTATTAAAGTTGACAGATATCCAGATTAAGAAATCTGTTGCATCGATGGCATAGAGGATTACACAAATTTTCTGCTTTACAGAGAAATACTTAACCAAAACAAATACTTTGCTGTAAAAATAACAATTATATAGAAAATAATTTATATTCTTAAAACAAAGAATGTGTTTTTAAAGCAGAGAATTTGTGTAATTGAAGCAGGAAGTATTTATTCTAGCTTTAATTACACGTTCTCATATCCTTTTATGCTATCGATGTGGCAGATTTCCTAACCTGAATAGTCATCAACTTTAATGATTAATATTTCGGTCCACGGAGTAAAGCGATATATTTTTTTGCCAGATTCGTTCATTTCGTGCAAAAACGCGTCGAATAAGTCTAATTTTATTAACATCGGCAATAAGGAGGATAAATTCAACAATTATCTAACATAAACTAAAAATAAAAAAATATTGTAAGCCGAATTACGTACATCGATATTCAATTTGCGAATGCTAAGAACTTCTGTTTCATCTCGTTGCTTTAGTTGTTCACGAATTAGTATCTTTTTTACTTTAAACGACGTATCTGTAGCGTTCAAACCTTTCGTCAATTGATGGACTGTCTTCGCTTTTAATTTCACTTTCGCCTTTTCCGATTTTAGGCGTTTTGAACGTTTATGATTCTTACTCATGTCTCAAAACGAACTATATCGTATTAATTACAAAATAGCTGCATATAAATTAAACAATTAAAATATTCTACGTATAATGGCGAATTCGCACACTTAAAGCCTGCGATACACGATGCTTGTTTTCCTGCTGGATTGCTAGCTAAATTAGAAACTTGCCACTGTATTGGTTGTGATACTGACTCTGACATTAATACGGTGGGAAGACTAATCAACACAAGCATATGATTACGTTGTGGTTGCTGTGTCCAATCTGCACCAAGCGTGTCTCGGCACCGGCGATGGCTAACTAATGGCGAAAAATTGGCAGGAAATCACTAAGCACGGATCCTCGTACAGGCAGCAGCGATTTGACACCGAACGCTGATTGGTGAAAAACGGTGATGGGGATAAATTTTAGAACTAGTTTTTCACCAATCAGCGCTCTGTATTAAAGCGCTGTTGTCTGTATGAGAATCCGAATTAACAAGAAATGTTACTCAAAGAAATGTTACTCATTGTTTCTGACTTACAAGCCATAAGGCGGTTTAATATAAACTCAAATGAATATTTGGAACGTACAGATCGAAAGAGTAATACGAAAAGACGTAATTACGTGCGTTACGACAGTTTGGTATCGCATTACTTAGATTAGGTTAGAATACGAGAAACTAAAAAATCTACAATATAAGTATTCATCTGATAGCGCGAGTAATTATCTAACGTTATAAATATAATCGAAATATAATCGATGTCAAGAGAGAAGGAGAGAGAGAGAGAGAGAGAGAGAGAGAGAGGGGAGGGGAGGACCGGAAAAAAGAACAGACTCGAGACGCGACTAATGGCTCCAGCATACTAGCGTAATGTGCGACACGCGATATCCAATGACAGTATACCTTTAGAATGAGAATATGCTAATAAATCGGTAATGCTGTATATAGTCATTGGATATCGCGTGTCGCGCGCGACGAACATTACACCGATATGTCGGAGACATAACGCTTGCAACGCCACAAGCATTTTGGGGTTACAGATTTTGGGCCGTCATATCTTCTCTCAGGTTTCTCTTTGATCAGAATATCCGTGCATAAAGAGAAACCTGAGAAAGGCCATGCTGGTTTTTTTTTTTTTTTTCCTGTTACCGTCGAAATTGCCTGTATACTACCGCCAGGATATCCATTTTCAATTTGAGAACTACGTGACTATATACATTTTTCTGATACTATCGATAAAATTGTATCGTCGAAAGTAGATATGGTTTGTCTCTGTAATTTCTTAGGACAGAAGCGTGCCGACTATATCCATAGGAGGGATAATTTAATGGATTCTTGAACGGAAAAATTTTAATTTCGCATCTCCTATATATGTAAATAAAAGTTGTTAAATTTTAATAAATGAAATTGATAATTTAAACATACTTTAGTAAGTTCTGTCTTATATTAGCTTATAAAATTACGAAGTTATTTTTTATGCAAATTTTCAATCCGTTTTTACCAAACATAATTACTATAGTATAAATCTTTTATTTTAGAATAAGACGTGAATGATTCTGTCATTCGCAACTTATTCTAAAATAAAAGTTTAGTATTCATTACTTTAAATAACAACAATTCTAACTCATTTCTTATTTAATATTTTAAATAAGTCGTACTATTTTTTTCCGATTCCTACAATTTTATATTTTTAATAAGTTTCTGAAACTTATTTTATACATTGTATTTTAAATAAGTCGCAATAGTTATTTTACTGAGCTATGATCGAAATTATACATAAATTAAAAAAAACAGAATAATTTGCAGCAACAGTAGTGTCATAAATTAATTTTTTTAGTTGAAAAATTAAATAATGATTAACAAGATATTTAATACTTTTAACCAAAGCTGTATTGAACGCAAATTGATTCGCAATATTAAAAAAATATGCATGTATTTTTGTAAAGGATGTATAGAATATTATCAATCTTTGTTTAAGTATGAATCATTTAAAATATTCTAAAAGTATAATAAAAATTGAGAAAATGAACTGTTAGAATATCAAAAATACCTCACATAATAATAATTATCAATTACGAATTATAACAAGATCCGCGCAAATTAATATAGGATTAAACTCTCGCAGAGCATAAAATATTAAAAGATGACGAAAAGATTCCTTTTTCAAGTTGTCTTTTCGACAAAGCTATAAGTTAAGATATCTACTAAAAGATATCTTTTCGTCTTATCGAAAAGACAACATAAGAAAGATTTTTCCGTCTTTCCAACAAATAAAAAAAAATATTTTTCTAGCAAAAACGCAATAAAAATGTTAATATATTATATCAAATTTAAATATATATTAAAAATTTTATATTTATATAGGCAATAATAATTTATTTAGCATCATCGGTTAACATATCTTCCAGCGTCTTTTGATCCTTTCCGCGCGGCGTGAGATGGCGTGACATGGTGTGAGAATGTGGGGATACGTGATTCGATTGACGTCTGCCTCTCAAAAAAGCCCACGCTTGACGTAAGACGTGATGGAAGGTATAAAGATAGACCACTTTGTTTGGAATTAGTAACGAAGAATTTATTACAGAAGCATGTATATATATATATATATATATATATAAAAGCTATATAACCGTACAAGACAAGCGACATGCTCTAATCACTATTCCTTTTTTTGTTAAACGTTTTTTTTTAACGCTGCTTGTAGGCAACTCTCAACTTACAAAATCTCTAGGCTTCCTCCATTCGCTACGCTAATGAGACATTTAGAAAATAGTTCGCTACATATTCCCCCCCGAGTTGACAACGAATCTACGATACTTACTAGATATAGGGGTTAGTACAACTTGCGAGTTTCAGATTAATTTTTTCCATATAGCACTCACTTGAGTCTACCTTCCTCTGGTATTCGTCCCACTCTCCCGCCCCACCCCTCTTGGTCAGGGGACTTTTTTTAGATGGGGATGGGGTCAAAAAATGTCGGAATTTAAAAATTTCAAGGGTGCTATCTTATAGATCTCAATAGGACAAACACAAAAGATTTAGGGGACTTTTGGTTACATCCATTTGAAAATTGGAGACTTTTGATTAGTTCCACTAGAAAATAGGGGATTTTTTTTTGGTTACATCCATTTTGAAAATTGGGGACTTTTGGTTACATATATTTGAAAATTGGGAACTTTTGGTTAGTTCCACTAGAAAATAGGGGATTTTTGGTT